TGGAAACATTGCCTATCGGTGCCATCTAATAGAGTAGTCACTTGCCAAGTATTGGGTATTGAAACACAAAATATTCATAATGAAGACATAAATTTTAAATGTAATTTAAATTAAGACACAATAGTGAGTGGCTACTGAATAAAGATAGCTATGGAGTAAAGAGTTTTTCCTCCTCATTGGGACCCAGAGGTGGTTTAAAAGGCCAGACTCGGGCTAGGACAGTCATGGTAAAAAGTGTTTCCACTGGTGAAAGAGAGATTGCAATACAGTGGTCTCTGAGGGATTGGGGAGGCGGGGTGATCACTTGGGGTATCAAGGAAGGAGTTACAGTCCGGACCTGGGGGATGTTCAGAACATAACCTTTAGTTTTGCCTTTCTTGTTTGAACTTCCTCATCAATCTATAGGTTTTTAGAAAAGTCCTGCCTGTAACCCCCGCTGCTCAGAGGCTGAGGCAGGAAGATCTAAGTTTAAGGCCAGACTGGGTAACCTAGCAAGACTCTATCTCAAAATTTAAAAATAGCAAGGGCTTGGAATGTAGCTCAATAGTAGAATGCCATTAGTTTCCATCCTGAGTACTAAAAAAAGTTTCAGTTATTTAGTTGTGCTTTGGGAAATTAAGGGAAAGACGATGTTATGTGGCTTAGCACCTTGATGCCTGAACAAATTAGTAGAGCAAGGACCACTAGAATACTAGCAATAGATGCTAATAGTAGAGTAAGTTGTTTGCACGTCTGAATCTTCAGGTTTAGCTCATAGTAAATGCTCTATAAATACTGAAAGTTGAACTCAATTCAGAAAGAAATTCTTAAGGTAATATTTATCCATGAACATTGTTTTGCTCATGTACGTGCTCATGTACTAGCCCCTTGTACGGAACAGAAATCGGACACTCTTATTTTTCCACCAATAGGCTAAGTACTTGTATTATCTAAAGATACTGCTCTTCTACTGTCCCTAAATTAAAATCTCTTAAAGCCATCTTTTGTATGATTTCAGTTCCAAATATAGACCAGTACCAGTCAAAACCTTGTTTAAATGTCTGATATTTGGGAAAGGCCATCCACGTGTATGCTAACTAGTCTTTGAATCTGTGGCACATAAGCCAAGTGTTCTCCTACACAATTAGAACGTCATAGTGCTGGCCAGAGTCTCTCAATTTTCCTGGGAAGGGTAATTTCACAGATGGGGATGTAGCATTACAGGCAATATGGAGCAATAAATTGAGACTTTTGTAGCATAATAATTAAAGATATAACTATTCTCAATAGATTCATATGCTAAAAATCCCTATTTCACATATAGCATTATATGTGAAATAGCATTTCCTTTGGCAAAGAATGAAAACCATATAATCCATGTTTTCATTTCCACAACATGTATCAAAACTTTTAAAACCTGCATTTATTATAAAGCTGTATTTACTGATTGTTCCCAGCTCCTTGGTAACACTTTCTCTGTTTCATCCTTCCAAGACTTATTTTGTATATTATAATTTGTAAACCACCTGAAATCCTTTTGGAAACATAAATCCTTAATCCTTTCAGAGGTCAAATCAGGAAGTACTAAATAACAAGACTAATAAAAGGATGCTTATTCAATTTTCTTCTCAAATGGAAGGTCGAATAATAATTTATAGGAGAAAGGTCAGTGGGAAGAGTGAAGATTAGGTCAGGTAGTCCATTATATTTGATGAAAAAACTCTTAGCCAGCAAGTATTCATCTATCTTCTTCAATCAATGAAAGGAGCTCTGCAGGTACCCACATAATATAATTTGGCCTTTAGTTCCTCCAGTGCACAAATGCTCCTTACAGGAATGATAATCAGTAGCAGCTCTGGTGTGTCTCAGTCACTTTCTCTGCCCCAACAGAGCAAGAAGGATTTGCTAAGAGAGCAAGGGTCGAGCATGTATTCAGAGAGTGTCAACGCCATCTCAGCAGACTCAGTTCAAAGAATGAGGATGTTGACACTGCACTGCGGCATTTGGGGGCCACTGCATTAACTCCCACAGTGGACCCGGGAGGATGAACAGGCCTTCTCGGTGGATAATCCAAAGGAAATACTGGAGGTGTTGGATGGGATATCATATACATATGCAGCAAAATCACAATGTAGAAATCATAATCGACATAACAAAAATCTAAGGAAAAGTGTTAATAAAACAGGGAAGCACACTACAAATGAGTTGCTGGAATTGCTCTTTGTGGGTATTTATTTGCCACTAGCCGGAATCTGTTTTGTTGACGCATAAATTAGCGAGCACTACAAGGAATCACAGAGAGCAATTTGTTCTACTGTGTGCGCCCTTTGGTCACACTGCATTTGTTTCTGCCTGTTATCTGCTTTGGAAATGACTCTAGAAGTGTTGTCCTTGTTCCTGTTCGCCAGCTCTCTTTGCTAGCAGGTAGCCATTCCCTGGGCCACACTCTCAGCCCACAGTGCTGCACACAATTTTGAGACTCTTCCTTCTTTGGTCTCAAAAAATGTGTACTCTTCCCCGGTCAGAAAATAGAATCACAATCCCTAAAGACAAATGCGGCTACTGTTGTCTTTTTAAAATTTAACTCTAACCATCTCCTAGAACTATCCAAATTTAGTTCTGTGATTTATGGTTACGGTCTGCAGCCAGTTCTTTGCAAACAAGGCTTAATGATTTTCCCTTCATCATTCTGAGCAGATAGAATCTGATTCCACCTTCGGTCCAGGGCCTCTTTCTTTCACATCTGCACTCCTGAGAGAACTGTGACCTAGAAAGACCCTGCTGGGATTGGAAAGCAGGTAGCCTCTATAGTATTAAAGTGTAGGTGCTGGATGAATAGTAACCAAGTTACAACAGGGTTGGAACCTGAAACAGACAAGCTCTTAATAGAGAGTTCTCCTCAGCGCGGCAAAACAAGTCATCCATTACCTGCTGCTGAGAGAAGCAGAAGTTGCTGGGTGTGAGTGACAGCTGAGGTCTCCTGTAAGTACAATGAAATTCTGCCACAGCCTTCAGCAGGGAAGGCTACAAGGCCTCATTAATTAGGAATGATCAAGAAAAATGCTTTTCTAAGTCAGTGAGAAGGCTGGATTTTAACCTATTTTAAACAAAAGCAAGCGTGGTTATTTTAAATCATGACGAGTTGGGCAAGGTTAACCATGTGAGTCTAAGGTCTTCAACGATCCTTAATCAATAAATGAGCTTCTTCTGTAATTACCACCGCCATTTGTTCTAATGTAAATTGTTCTAATGTAAATGAATGCTCTGGAATTGCTTGAAGGAGTTGGAAAATACTATAATTTGTGTTCTTTTAAATTGCTTAACCATTCCCCCAAACTTATTTTCAGCAGCATTTCTGAACAATGGCACAAAGACAACCTCAGATACTACCCTGACATGAATTTTCCAAATGTCCTAATTAGAAGATGAGACTTAACTAGTTTTTCTTTTCTTTTCTTTTTTTAAATTTTACTGTGTATTATAGAAATAAAGCCAGAAGAAGGCATCATGAAATGAACTCCAGTTTTAACATTGATAGATCTGGTTTATACTTGGCTTAAAGAAGTGCTTAGCTTTGTCCTTCAAAGAGTCAGAGTGGGTCCTGGCTCTGCCACGTCAAGGATGTAGTTAATACACTAAGAACGAAGCTTTAGTGTGGAAAGAACTAACTGGCACTCTCAAGTCATTGAAACTGATAGAGGCTGTTAACAAGGTGATGACAATGGTGCAGGAAATAGACTTTACATTAGTGCAATCTGAGCTCTTATTAATTTTTATAGAACTGGTGAATTATAAGAATAATGGACTCCTTTAAGTTGCTTAAGGGAAATGGAATCCTGGAGTAGTTAAGAGCTTTGGGGCTGAAATCCTGCCTCTTCTAAACTGCCTAGCTCTCTGATCCTGGAGCTGCTACTTTTTAGCTCTAAGCCTTGGTTTCCTCTTTTGTAAAATAGTTGTAAATCACACTTCCCTTCCTATTAGGAAAAGTGAGATAAAATGCTTGGCCTGGCACCTCCTACCCAGTAAATACTTCAAAAATGGTATTACTTCTATTACTATTACTTCTAGTCCTGGCATTATGCCCTGACCCGCTATCTCATCCCATTCCTCTTCTAACAAAGTTTCAGCAGAAGTAATATTTCAGAGGTTATGTTCAGAATAATACTGCTGCTGCTATTGATGGTATGTCAGGGACTGTGGTCAGGGCTTTGTACGTACTACCTCTTAATTGTCACAGTGACTTGAGGGAGAGGTGTTATTAGTTTATTATGATTATTAAATTTCACAATTCCTATTATTCATCTTATAAATGAAACTTATAGACGCACAGAAGTTAAAGCCAAACTTTGAACTCTGGAGTATGAATTCAGAGTCCATACTTTCAGCTGCGACTCCTTCCTATTTCCAACCTCAATTCTATTTCTGACAGTGATGTTTCTGATGATCAGGCCTAAAAGTTCAGTGCAGTATTACTGTGTACGGGTCTCCAAGCTGCTGTTGGGTGGCGTACATGACATTCTAGTTCTTTCTCAATGAGAGCCTGAGTGGTTAGGGAATTTTGTTACTCATTTTAAAAGTGTAAAGGAGACAAAAAGATTCTGAAGGGTGGGAAGTATGGGCCTCATCTGGATATTGTAAAGCACATTCCCACCTTTAGTGTGGAGACCCTGATCCTGAGAGCAGTCTCGGTACCATCTGAACAATTTTTAGCAGTTTCATTAATTTCCACTTGGGGAACTCTTGGCAGTTCCCCACCATGATTACTAGAACCACATATTCAATATATCCACTTATTACTCATCACCCACCCAGGTAGCCCCATGTTGATTTAGTTTTCCTGCTAGGAAACTGGCACACCTATATAACCAAGAAAATGCGCTAGGGTGAGTAGGAGGTACAGTTTTCACTGATTGGAAGAACCCTTGGAGGTCAACTGTCCCAACCTCTTCCTTATGCTGGAAAAAGGAGAGTTAAAAATCATTTCAAATGCTTAAAGTCATTACACATCGCTGTGCTCTTACCCTTGCAGTGAAGTCCACAGCAGCCGCTCGGTTTAACAGCAACGTGGCCACATTGATATTTCCATAGTGAGCAGCTATGTGGAGCGGAGTGAAGCCACTCTGTAAAGAAAACACAGCAGACATTCAATCGATTCCTGCCAGTTCTTTGTCTGACTATGTTACTATCATAAACTTTCCCAAATAAAAATGAGGAAGCAAAATATGCTGAGATCCACATTCTATTCTGAACTAGGTTTCGATCAGTGCCAGTTGCTCACTGGGCTTCTAATACACCCCACACTCACAGGCAAAGAAACAGCCAGGGAAAAAAATCCCAGGGTAGCAATGGATCGATTTCGTTCATCTGGTAAATTGAACTACATAGAAACCAACATTTCAAAAAGTTAAAATAAGGATCATAAGAAATAACTTTTTAGCTCATAGAAAGCTTGAACAACATTACTATTTTAAAGCTGCTTCATTACTTATGGTAGAATTGATCATTGAAACTCTTCATCCAAATTCAATTAGTTTTACATATTCAATATAAATTCAAATTCCCAATAGTAAATGCCAATTTTAATGACTCAAACAATTTGGGGGGAAGCAGTACTAGCACACAATTGATTGTGCATAATGGGTGACTGTATTCTATAAAGATTCCACAAGTTGATCTCTTTGTTAGCAAATGCCTATTCACTAACACAGTTTTCTTGATTTTTTTTCCCCTAAACCATGATCATTTTACTTCCTTAAAAGTGCTAAACATGCAGCAATTCACTTAGTCCCCAAAGATTGAAACCTTAGAGGAACTAGATGCATTTCTAGTGTGTGAGCAAGCTTCTTAGCCATGCCAGCCGTCTGACTCTTGTGGAAGGTGGGTCATATTGTCACCTTTCTGAGGTAACTTTCCCTTTGCTGACACCAGAGAGGGTAAGTGTCATGCAGAACCCTAAAGAATCAATTCTGGAGGAGTAGAATGACAGGGTTGTCTGCAGCTTCAGGTATAGCTGATAAGCATCTAAAGTGTCAAAACTCTCCAGGTCACATGCAACACATTTAAGTTCCAGGGATTCCTAAATCTTCCCTTCCAACACCAAGTTCAGCTGCAGAAAGCCCTGGTACTCAAACTACCGTCTGCTCTAGCACATGCTCCTTTGCGGGGCAGGGAATAAAGCAGGTATCTAGCCTACAGAAGGCGATGCAAAGGAAGGAAGGAAGGAAGGAAATGAGGCAGCAGCACTACATAATGGGTAAGTGATGATGCGATATAGATCATACATATATGTAGATATATATATATATATACCTCTGTTGTTCTATTCACCACCATCTAGGTTAACACATTTGGAAGCAAAGAGGAGGAAAAAATGAACGGTTAGTTCACTATTGGTGACATGGATTGCCGAAAGCTCATGACAGCTAAGGAATGATGATGAAAGCTATGATGGAAGCACAAAAGGCACAGAGAAAGCTAGACTGAATGGAGGGCGCCACGCGACGACCTAGTCCAGTTGCCACATTTCCTTCACAGAGACTTTCAAGTAAGACATGTCAAGACAATGGGAACTTCCAGCTGTGGCTCTCGCGGCTGGCATGCTTTCCGCAGCTGATCTACACTCAGTTTACTGCCTGTCATCTCAGACATCAACAGAGGCTTCCTGGGGCACACTGTCCTTGGCAATTTGTGACTTTTCACCCTGATATTTGAGTTGCAGTGTTCAATACATTCCCAATATGTATTCAAAGGAAGGAAACTATTAATGGCAGGCACATCAGCGTTTTCTTTTGTGGGGGGGCTCCCTTTTAGCACGCACGGGGCAGCACCTGCAGCATCCTTTAGCTTTTTACGTTAAGGGAGGGTGTGCGTTCGCTCGACTGGCTTGGACACACATTTTTTCATTCCTTTCAGTGAAGGTAAGTTTTGGGCATGAGTTTGCCAAGAGGGAGACCAGGCATCCTTAAAGGCCGTGGGTCTGACTCAGGATTGCTGCAAGAAACGCCTGCGTCCCTGAGCCTCACCTTGGACTCCACATCTGCGTTGTTGTCATTCTGCAGCAGCAGGGCGGCGGCTTTCGTGTCATCTTTTCGGGCTGCGATGTGAAGAGCTGGAAGACGCACTTTGCCTTTCGTGTCATTTTCTAGGAGGAGTGAAACTACTTGGTCGTGACCTTGTTGCAAAGCTACGGCCAGTGGTGTGAAGCCATCCTGCAAATAAATGGATGCATCAAGATGGGTGAATATTTTCTTTTTGATCCAATTAAATAAGAAAGCAGCCAGATCAATTTTTGTTGAGGTTCATTAAAAGCTAACTTTATATTCAAATAGACATATATTTGGAAAGACTTCTATATCTATCCAAAACAAAAATCGTAAGATCACAAAAATTTCTTGCTAAACTTTTTTTCCCCCTCTGTTGAAAAGTAGCACTTACAGATTAATTGGAAAAAGTTTGCAAATATACAAAAGTACTACATAAAAAGAAAAAAAATTATAATTTCAGTACACATAAAATCATCTCAATAAAATCAGAGCACTTCAGGTTAAATCTAGGCAAAGTTTTGCAAAAAGCTTATTTAAATATGATGTAAAAAATTTTTTACTGATATAGATGGGGTTTGTGCCTATCTGTTCTTTACCATGTGGCCTAGCATAAGCCTGGTGCCCTGTCAGTATACATAAATTAATCAACCATTGTCATTGCTGTTTTAAGAAAGGTCCACATGAAAGACTCTTACTTTCTTTCACCAATAAGGAAAGACAACACATTGATCTTTAAGAATTCAACTTTAGCTACATTTTTTTTTGTTAAATTGTATTGTGGATTGACAAATCATAATTATATATAGTTATGGGGTAAATATGATTTTTGAATATGATGTGGAATGATTAAATCATCTTAATTAACATATCCACCACCTCAATTACTTTTATCCTTGTGATAAGAACATTTGAAATTTATTTTCCTAGCAACTTTGAATTGTACAATATGCTATTACTAACTACACTCTCCCATCTGTGCCATAGACCTTTCCCTCCGAAAACTGCATTCTTCCTGTTTGAGACTTGGTCCTCTTTGCTCAATATTTTCCCACTCTCCCCAGCCCTAAGCCTCCGGTACCCACTGTCCTAACCTGTGTGTCCATGAGCTTTACTAAAACATGACTTCAGAATAAATTTGGATGTAAGTGCACACTCTACATTTTGCATCTTCCCTTTGTTTTTCCCTGAGACTTGACAAAAATGAGACAGCTACCAATCTCACAGCGTTTCATTAATTTATTTTATTAATTTCTGTGTAATCTAGAGTTGCTGATAGGACAAGCAGCACAGGGTGGAACATCCCAAGACTCACAAATTTTAACTTTGCAATGTTTTCATTATTGTAAGCTCAAAAATTAAAATTCATTTTTACTGTAGAGTTTGCAAACAGACTACTTATTACTTTTATTTATTAGTGCATTATAGTTGCAAAAATTAGTGGGTTTCATTTTGAATTATTCTTAAATGCATATAACATATTTTTCTCCTTTTCCTGATTCTTTTATTTCTGTGGTCCTATAGTATAAGTAGAGGACTACTCCAATACAAGAGCATTTGTAAAGGGGAGGAAGGAAACCTGGTCAGTTGCATGCTAACATCTTGTTGGTCTTCTGAAATCACCACTTCCGTTTTTTCCTTTGTTGGAAAATAATCAAGTGCCTCTACTATTTATCTGACTGAACACAAAACTGCACACTTCAGTTGAAAGAATGTGTAAAACATTGGCACAAAGCACTTGAGGGACTACACTGGCCAGTCTTGTCCCACATAAAACCTTCCCACCAGTTTTCAGACTAATTCTGGATGGGCAAATTCCTACCCTGGCATCCCTCATGGCATTTTCCCCTCCTTAAAATGCCCTCCTCTTTCTTCTCTGGGTACAAATCCTATCTAAGCTCAAGCTTTAAGATCCAGTTTAAAGGCCACCTGTTCCTCTTTACTACTCAAGAAGACAGGAAGGAGAAGGGGAAGGAGGATAGTGGGAAGGGGAGAAGGAAAAGAAGAAAATGGAAATCCCTACTTAACTAGGAGGACATTTTCTCTGCAGTCTGATGGCTAATAAAAAAGCCAGTAGACACTTAAGGACATAAGGATATGAACATTTACAGTTTACTCTTATAAGAGAAGTAGTACACAAAGCAATAGTAATATGTGATCTCAATTTCACATAGTTAAATATCTGTGTGTATCATATATTGATACAAAAACATTTGGATGAATAAACTGTTCTCTCAAGGGAAATTTACATCACCATTTTTCTTTCTATTGAATGTTATCATTATGTGATATTATTACATTTACAAAGGAAAGAAAAAATTTCTTTTTTTTTTTTCCAGTGCTGGGAATTGAACCCAGAGCTTGGTGCATAGTAGGCAAGTATACTACAACTGGGCTATGTCTCCAGCCCTGAAAAATGCATTTTTATATGAGAGAGCAAAAGCAAGAAAATTGCATATGAAGAATTAACTTTGCATCTCACTTTAAAAACCTGCACAGTGCCTAAGGGTAAAAATAACAGTCTACTTCTGTTCTGCATCAAAACAAAATGGCTGCATTTCCATCGACCATCAACATGCATTTATATATTCAGAGCTGTTCATAAAGGACAGTCCTGTGTACCACAGAATAAACTGCAAACTGAGCTGATTATCACTCACAAGAATATGTTTCCTGCATAAGCCAATTAAGGACATAAAGACACCAGCTCTAAGGTGTTAAATGCTAAAATTAGAAGCTCTATATTTTGTTTCAAATACAAGCTTAAATAGTGTGGTTTGCTTTGTTCAGTTATTCTTAAAAGTATGAGCAGGAAAGAAATATGATAGAAACTACCAAGAACAGGGTTCATGCCCTGGTTGTTCAAGGGTGGACCTTCACTGCCTTGTGGAGAGTTTGATGGGTAAGAGGTATACTACAGAATTTCAATAAGCAAATATTTTGCTTAGAGAATAACTATGATCTGCAGATATATAGGGTAAAATTTGATATGCAGTACACAGCAATATAAAAATAGAGTTAAAAAACTTAGCTTGCCAAAGATTTTATACATATGAGATATGAATTGTATAGCACGCTTACTAAAAAAAATGTTTAAAGAAATTTGGCAGATATCTTTCAGTAAATTAAAAATCCTATTAAAAACTTCCTATTTAAAGGATCCCTTAATTGCCCCTGATTGTTCTGTAAATACAGACTTCTGTATAAATGTCACCAATTTGATGGCTAATAAAAAAGCCATACTATACTTAGAATATCATATCAATCATATGAATAAAAGGATTTATTTCTTATTGTTATTTTTATTTTCTATGCCAATAATCCACAAGAGGAGGAAAAATTCAGTAGATTGAACATCTGCAGGGAACCAAATGTTCTCTATATAGAGATGTAACAGTAGCTCTCAAGAAAATAGAGATTTTACTTGTATTTACAGAGAACATTTATTTCTCATCATAAAACTAAGAAATAATAACATTAAAGTACTGAAAAAGAATACAAACTTTAAAAAATATATGCATCTTTTGCCAAAGATTGAATCTATTATTTCAGGATCTATTTTAGGACCTTTTTTAAAGTTACTTGTGGTTTTGTACTTCTTGGATCTTAAAAACTTAAAATATAGGACAACTTAGCAATTAACTTACAAGCTAATGCAAATCTATTCACAGTAAGTTGGGCTTATACTTGCTTCTAAAGAAGAGCTACTGAAAAGAGAAAAAAATAGAAAGCACAAAGAAAAATACCTAATCTCTAATGTGTAGTAGTTACATATTTATCAAATAATAGACTCAAAAGAAACAGATGTTTAAAGGGTGCTATATACATTAAAAATTGCTTTATATCCAAGTTTTGATTGCTTTTCAAAGACAGACAATGGAATAGCATACTCTCAAATATGTTTAAAAAATATGATCATTGTACTCCCTGCCTACTCAATCAGGAACTTGCACATTATATTGCATTAGATTTCTAATGATTTTATCAAAGCAAAAACCAAAAATTTTAAAAAGTCAAAAAAACAGTTCTGCAAGATAGCAGATCAACAAAAGTGGTTTTTTAGAGGATCATGAACTATGCACAACAACTTTTCTCAAGTTGGGTGCAGTGGTGCACGCCTATAATTTGAGCAACACAGGCAGTTGAGGCAAGAGGATTAAAGTTGAAGATCAGTCTTAGAAACTTAGTGAGGCCCTGTGCAACTCCTCAAAATAGAAAACATAAAAAGGGCTGGGAGTGTGGGTCAGTGTTAATGTGCCCCTGGGTTAAATAATCCCCAGTACAGAAAACCACAAAAACACAAAAGAAAACAAACCTTTTTACAAGTTTAGTAGTGAATTTAGGTAAAGAAATCTTACAGCCAGGCACGGGGGTGCATGCCTATAATCCCAGAGTATCAAAAAACTGAGGCAGGAGGATTGCCAGTTCAAAGCCAGCCTCAGCAACTTAGCCAGGTACCAAGCAAATCAATGAAATCCTGTCTCTAAATAAATAAAATGAGTTGTAGGGGCTGGGGATGTGGCTCAAGCGGTAGCGTGCTCGCCTGGCATGCGTGCGGCCCGGGTTCGATCCTTAGCACCACATACCAACAAAGATGTTGTGTCTGCCGAGAACTAAAAAATAAATATTAAAAATTCTCTCTCTCTCTCTCTCTAAAAAAAATATGAGTTGTAGGCAAAATGTTCCATATGTTTTTAAATAGGGGGATGGAAGTAAAGAATCTGTTTATTTTAGGAGACTTGTTGGTTCCCCCCTACCCCTACTTTTGACCTTTTCTTTGAATTTAAGATGTCTAACTGTGAAATTAAATAACAAGTTTGTGGTTCTTAATGTTTTTTCTCATAAAATGTGATTGTTTAAGAACATGAACCAAAAGTTGCTTTCAACAGTACAACACTTTGTTGAATCTTAATAATTCACAATTTTTTCCTTGGCTGTTCAAAAATATAAAGCAAGAAAGAAGAGCTACTTAGCTATATAAACTTGATGTTGGAAAATACTACCCAACAACCACAAGAGCACTGTGCAATCACTTTCATTAGGACATTTATATTATTTGGTATCTCCATTCAAAAATAGAAATCAATTTGTCTTAACCAACAAGGCACGCCCTGCCCTCATTCTTCCTGCATGGACCTGTGCATCCTACCTGAGGTACTGTCCTCAGAACAGCTACTCCTGAGGGTAAACAGAGGCCCTGCTCTGTGCCTAGCAAATATTCTATTTATTTATTTTTAACTGATACATAAAAATTGCATATGTTTATGGGGTACCATGTAATATTTCAATATAGGGATGTGTTGTACAATTGTTCAAATCGAAGTAAAGATATCTCCTCAAATATTGATCATTTCTTTATAGTAAAAACATTCCAAGTCCTTTCTTCTCTTTGGAAATAGACATTTTCATTGTCTCTGGTCAGCCTACTATGCAACACAGCTCCTGGCAAATGTTTGTTCTTTTGATACCAGCCAGTGTTATTTCTCAAGTAGTTTTATGAATATTATCGTAAAAATAATAAAGTCTCATAATATAATTCTCCAGCAGTATTGAAGGGTATAAAGTGAGATGACTCCCTCCTAATTCTTACAGGAAACTACTAATGGCAAAATACTGCAGCCACTTTCTTATGTTAGTAGATAGCGTCTTGTCTCATTTTTAACAAGCCAAATAGCATTTTATTGTATACCAACATTTATTAAACAGGATCCCCACTTGTGCATGTTTAGGTTCTGTTTAGTTTTTTTTTAAAAAAATTATTATTACAAATTAATGCTAATGAGCATTCTTCTATAGTATTATTTTTGCATTCTAATATATCTGTAATATAAATTCTTAGTATGGAGCTGCTAAGTGAAAAGGTATGTAAATATTAATTTTTGATAGTTACTACAAAAGTTTTGTAACCATTATCAATTCAGCAATATTATAGGAAAATTCTGGTTTCCTTTCTCAACCTATTTTATTGTTTAATGGTTAAATGATTGGATCTCTGTCTTTAGACAGATTAATGAGTTCATATTTCTTTGACTATGAATGAGGGTGAGAGTACTTTCATGTATTCACAATTTCTTTATTCATCTAGTGATTTCCCCAGGAAGTATTTATTTCAAAAAGTAAATGAGATTATGTGTGATTCCTCTGTTGCTATTTTTCTTGTGCTTCAGGAAATATACTGCATGTAAGTAAGAGAAGTGGGATTATGGTAAAATAATCCTGCATCTGTTGGAATACTGCTTTATTAGAAATAAAAAATACTCATGGGTTGGTCCTTTATTATTAGCAACCGATTTTTAGCAACTCACTCAAAAAAACAAACTACATTACCCAAGACAGCATCAATGACTTAACTTTCAATTTTTAAGTACTTCTTCTATTTAAGACTATAGAACTTTTCCTTAAATACACTTTGATACTTTAAAATACATAGTAGTTTTATTGAGAAGTATGAATTAAATCTAACTAGTTAATTTCAGGAATATGCAAATCCAATCATAATTAGACTAACTCGAATCTGGAAAAAAACGGATTTAAAACTGATATTTAATAAAAATAATTCAGAACAATGGGTGCATTTGAGGTAATATCACTAAGAGACAGAAAAATGTTCTCTAGAATATATATTAAAACAGTAAAATAAAGGTTCAAGTTTAGGGTACAATCAGGCATGTAGAGCATGTATCTATGCAATGGAAGATTTTTAAAGATTAAAAAATATTTTCCAACATATTTTATAAAAATGCATGGACCCACGTGTTAATGTACAGCTGTCTTTTAAATCCTAATGGGGCAAATTCTCAACTCCAGATTTACAGAATATCTAGTAAATGTGAACTTAACCATAGAAGCTGAAGTGTCTTACCTCTGTGGCTAGGCTTTGGCTGGCACCATTGTCAAGAAGAAACTTGACGACTTCCAGGTGGTTTTCCTGGGCTGCCATATACAATGGCGTGAAACCATTCTGCAAAATGAGAAACGAATGGTTATCTCATTTCTAGAACCAGGCTGTTTTTCATGATACTGAGTATATATGCTCTGAGAAGTGCTCCCATGTAATTTCTGTAATTCTTTAATGTAGATATTCATATTTATCAGAAAACCTAAGTACCATAATTTTTTCAAAATTCATAATGTAAGTATAATTCATAATTATACTTTGCAATTCATAATTGGAATGCAGATCATAGATAATAGTCTATAGCTAAGTCTAATTCATAGCAATTTACACACTTCTGAGAAATAAGTATATTCATTCAGTCATCAACCACTTATTCATCACTTACCATGATTTAAAGTATTTTACTACATGCTATGAGGATATGAAGAAAAATACATCTGGTTGTTAAAGCTACCATTCATTAGTTATCTTTTAAAAATAAAGATGTAATATACTCAGGCAAAAAGCATCTGAAACAGTTTCAACTTTGGATGAAATTTATTTCAGTCTCAAATGGCTTCAAACTTAGCACATGCATACATCCACACACACACATTCAGTTTGTATGTGTATGATTGTCTGAAATGTGCTTATGCATTTGGATCTAAGCAAATGAATGTGCATATGACATCTTACGTTTCTTATTAAAAACATGTTTCCTGTATTTGTAATCTAGAATGATTTTTTACACCTAATAAATTGATATTTTACAATAAAATTTTAAAATATTAAAGATTTCTCAAACTACAAATTCTCTGAATACATTTTTTTTTTTATTTTTCGGCAGACACAACATCTTTGTTTGTATGTGGTGCTGAGCATCGAATCCAGGCCATACGCATGCCAGGTGAGCATGCTACCGCTTGAGCCACATACCCAGCCCCTGAATACATTTTTTTTAATCCATGCTAAAGTATGTTATCTTATTAAGACTGTATCCAAGACATTTATTTAATTACAGAATACAGTTCTATTTAAATGACTATTCATGAAATTATTATATAGATAATACTATTTCAAAGCATGAAACTAAATATATTTTAAACTAAAATATTACCAATTAGGATTCAAGCTTTGTGATTCAAAAGGTTGAGTTGCCTCATTATAAATGTCAATTATTGTACGATCACCTTACTAATCCACAATTCAGCCTCTGGTGACCTCACATTTTTGGCATAATTATAGCTGGGCATTAGTAAATTAAGAAGATCCTTGAAGATGGCATGGCAGCACACGCCTGTAATCCCAGCTACTTGGGTGGCTGAGCAGGTGGATCCCAAGTAGAGGCTAGTCTGGGCAAGATAGCAAGACCCTGTCTCAAAATAAAAACACCTGGGACTTTAGCTTAATGGTAGTACGCTTGCCTACTATGTGTGAAGCTCTGGGCTCAATGTCCCATGCCCTAACCATATCCTTGAACAGATAAAAGTGGTAGTGATCAAACAACTCCACCATGGCCTGTATATTCATCAGAGAGCACCTCTCTTCATTTTACTCCAGTTTGCTCACAGTTGCAACAAGTTATCTGGTTATCAAGCTCAACATTAGAAAATCAGAGGAATATAACAGCAGCCAGCTAGCTCCTTCCTGGGGAATAGTCTGCCTGGTAGTATCTCTGGAGCCTATTGTTTCTGTCATGAAGGCTACATCAGCCTTTAAACATGAAGCATGGACTAACTGCAACATTCTGTGGGGGTTGTGTGTTGTGTTTTGTCACTTTTCCCAGAGCTATGAGGGAAACTGAAAGAGAGTTAGGTTACCTTCACCATACTTATATCTTTCTCATTTTCTTACTTAACCAAAATGAAATGTCATTTAATTCTTGACTAAATGTCCTTTTAGCAATAAACTAAAGCAACGATATGAAGAAAGGGAGAGAGGGAGGAAGGAATAAAGGAGATGGGAATGGAAGGATGGAAAAAGAAAACAAAGGTGAAAACCAGTGTGGATTTTTCTTACAGCCAAATGAATAACTGAGCATTTGTCTTCTTTCATCAAGTTCTCTGAAAGTCAAAATTTCCAGAGGGCAGTTTCAAATTTTAGGAGTAAAGTTCTTAAGAAAAACTTCCCAAAGTTCACACCTTAAGTATCAACAAGTCAAGTCATGTCAGTTGGTTCTAAGCAGCAGGAGGGGAAGGTCTGCTGTGGTGGTGTGGTACAGGGCTGCCTAAGAGACACTGGTTTACCCAGGCACATCTGGCATCCAGCCCAGTGCGCATCCCCTGGTCCAGAGATCATCATCCAGAACCAAGCATTTCCTGATCCAGGAGGAAAATCCCAAGTCAGGAAGCAAGATTGAAGGGGATGCTATTCGTACAGACCTGGGTCTTCTAGAGAGCCATTCTTGAGAAAAACAACTTTTAAATCATTCCACATGCCCTTTTTCATAATAACAGAAGAGATGAGTAGAATTAGGATTTAGAATTATCTCAAAGGCAGGAGCCCCGGCAAGCTACAGCCCAGTAATGAACGGTTTCCCACGGTGGCTTTCCCCATTTTTCATGAAGGCTTGCCATCCAAAGGTTATTTCATGAAGGTGAGACATTTTCTGAAAGTTCACATTCTTGTTCGTTTTTTGATTTTTTTAAAATATTTGTTTGATAGTCACAATCTATAAGATTCACCCTTATAGAGTATACAATTAAGTGGGTTTTAGTATATTCACAACACTGGGCAACTGGCCTCGACAGACAGGAGCCTGGTCAAGATGCAGCCCCTTGCTCCAGGACTCATCCTCAGCACTTACCTGCTAGTACTAGCACCCTACACACCCCCTGGCAGCTACTCATCACTCATCTACTTCATCTCTGTGGCTTTGTCTATTCTGTACATTTCATATAAATGAATCATACAATATGTAACCATGAATGGTCTTGTGCTATTTCTGCTGTCTACGGTGATTAAAAAAAAAATGGGGGGAGACTTCATGACTGAAATTTTAATTTTATAGTAGGCGATTGTGGTGTGTGTGTTTATTTGACTTTGCTATGGTTTTGGTTAACCCTACCCACATCGAGTTCCTCTTCATTTGACAATGTTACCCTTATTTTCTTTTGGAAAAAATCACTCTTCCCTGCCATGTAAGTGTGGCTTGACTTGGTTGAACTTGGTGACAGATAGGCTTGCCCTTCTGTAACTATGCGGGAGACATGTACTGGATACCTTTGTTTTGCTCTTTAGAATCTACTCTCCCCAGCTGTTCTTTACTCACTGACTTACAGGAACCAGATTAATGGGAAAATCTGAACTCTGGTTTTGGTCAGGCTCCACTGCCCTCTACCCCAAGTATCAGGTCCCTTAAACTTTTTAAAAGCTTATTTAGTCTTTTATTCTTGTTGTTCTCCATCTAATTCTAATAAGTCCATCCTTACATTTGCTTAAGTTAATTTCTGTTCCATGAATCTAAATACAAATTGTCACCAATTTCATCTATCAAGAAAGGATCAACAAGGTACGACAATACATATATCACTCTGTTATGATTCTAGGAAGAAAATTGTAAGCATCCTTTGGGAAGATTGAATAAAAACATTATCATCACTCTTTAGCTCAAGAAGGCTTAAGGCATCTACAGTAATTCAGTGTGTTGTCATTGGATGGCTGATAGCTGTAATGATTTTTAGTGAAGTGGACCTGGATTGGGAGAAGGGTCATATTTCAGAAAGATTCTTCCCTTCTTAAGAGAAAAAAAAGTACACCATTATTTTCATATTAATTTCTTAAGTTAGGAAATTTCCAAAACAAAACTGGTAGAAAAGGAACATAAGGTGCCTGATTTACATTTTCTTTTCTGGAGCAACAATAGATTTAATTCTCAAAAGGCAGAGCAGCTTCAGATCCAATGAGTATGCTATTTGAAGTCTGATTTTTATCTAATACCTTCAATACCTTCTGCTCTGAATGTTTACAGTGGTGCTATAATAAGCATGTAAATCAGCAGACTTATAATTTGGTAGACAGCATGGAGGCATCCAGCACAATACCTACCAAAATAAATAAATAAAGAGCCCTCCTGTGGTTTCATTTAAGGTCTTAAATTTTATCTGTGAAATTTTCCCAGCCATGCTAGTTCTCTATGGCCTGTGTTCATCATAAAGTGCTGTTTTTAATTTAGATAGAAGGGCATTGTGAAGATTTCGCTGATTCATATATGGCTGTAATTTTTGTGAAAGTCAGATTGGAGGTTTAATACAAGGTCATAAGTCAGGGAGCCTCATCTGGATCATATTCATTTGTCTAACTTTGTTAGGATCTAACTTTCCTACCACAGGAACACCGCCATACAGGCAAAGACCAAAAATGTACATAAGGAGCTCTGGGTGACTTAGTGGGTCTTGCCATCATTAATGCCATTATGAAAAATTTTTCCTTTAGAATATTTTGATAGCTGAAATGCTATCTGAAAAAGTATTGCCTCTTTATAAACACAATTTTATATTACAGAATAAAGACAAAAGGGAGAAGAGTGAAGGATGTCATTTGACTTAGCAGTTTGAGATTTTTCAACACTGTTCACTGTTATACTTAGTGCAACATATTAAGGATTTAACAATAGAAAAATTCTTCATAATTACAATGTAAGTAACCAATCCAACCTCTTTCTTAAGGTATGGTTAAGTGATCTCTGGGATGTTAATTAATATTAAGTAAAAGTTAATGATCTTGCTGGGTGTGGTGGTGCCTGCCTGTAATCCCAGTGGCTTGGGAGGCTGAGGCAGGAGGATCTCCAGTTCAAAGCCAGCCTTAGCAAAAGTAAGGAACTAAGCAACTCAGTGAGATCCTGTCTCTGAATAAAATATAAAATAGGGCTGAGTATATGATTCAGTGGTTGAGTACCCATGAGTTCAACCCCAAGTATTACCCCAACACCCCCAAAAGAGTTAATGATCTTTTTAAGATCTAAGATCAAGGCAACAGCAAAAATTAGTTAACTAAAATCTGTGAATTCCTATGTTGTCCAATGTCATTTTTATTTTAAAGGAGAATTTTAATACTCAGGGAATGCAAGGGGCTCTCTCAACTATTTCTTATTGGCCATTACACATTGCTAATAGGTTAAAATTTCACTTAGAGAAAGATACTCTCTTTTGTGAATATTAATATCCCCGTGACATTTTATGTGCTGCCACCTCAATGGAATGTAATCTTCTTTCATGGCACCATTGCTTGCTATTCTTTATAAAAGTTTCTACTGAAGAGTTGCTACGAGGAATTATCAGGGAAAACCCACTCTGCTGCATGGTCACCTCGTTACCTGAATTAACCACAGAGCAAGGCTATGCAGAAGATGCACTAGGGCAGGACCCCAGAGGAAGGGGAAACCCTTTGCTATGCATTGTGTGTCAGGGAATCCCATAGGCTACATCCTTCTCCCTCCCTGTCTCAGCAGTGTGGAATGTGCATAAATTGAAATAAAAACTGCCTAGGATTTTATTTCAACTGCAGTTTTCCCAGACACTGCAGAGCAGGTTTGAAACTATAGCTGCTCTAAAAAAATCAGTCAAGAATGCGTGTAATGTTTAAAAGGAAGTTGTTTATTTTTCCTCTTTTGGGAATACAAAAAAAAAAAATAAATAAATGGAATAAAGAGTTTCCCACTATCTTGGGGCCTAAAACGAGAAATTTTTTTTAGTGAAAATGTGTGGCAATATTTTGGAAAAAAAAATTGGCTTAAAAGCATGATGCTTCTATTATAGTCAACTGGTTTTTCTCTCTCAAAACACTTGCCAATGTTCAGATTTCTGTCACCCCTTTCTAGAAAATTATTAATAGTTGAAGTGAATTCTTACAGAAGGTCAGAACACCTGGCATAGACCATGTGACAAAGGTCCAACCACAGGTAACTGGAAAGAAATTAGAGCAAATATAGCTGCAAGCACTTCCTTTTCCATGGCTCTGAAGTTGAATGGTGACAGAGCTCTTGCTGCTCTGGGTGTAGCAAATGGGAGAGGAAGTCACTGCAGTGCTGCAGACCCATACAGCAGAAGAGATTCCTGTTATGTGAAGATAATCAGTACTAGAAAAGGGGATGAAACCATGTGCACTTAAACTGAAGATCCAAAGTCCATTGT